CCAATGTAAGATTAAAAAGTCTTCCCATGTCAATTGTTGATTTTTCCCCAATCTAATTGTTATAGGTCACGGCGAGACCAGCCGTTTCTCATAAACGATAGGTGTCAAGTGGAAGTACAATGATGTATGCAGTTGAGGCATCCTAACAAACTGATAGTCTTGAACCTTGTAATTTATTTAAAATTAATAGATATAACTCAATAAATTACCACCATCAGATGGACAAAAATCAACAACTGATATGAGGAGCAAGATTTCTTAATTTTATACTAAAATCAAAAGATCATCCCATTCTATATATAATAAGAGGTGGCAAGATGGGTCCAACCTATTAGGTAGACCCATTTAGCATGCCACAAAGATGAGTTGAGTTGGAATTTCCAACCCGCTTGAACCCACCCAGCTTAAAAGGCGAGTCAAACGGGTTCAACCAGCGGCAAGAGAGGTTGACCCGCTAGGTTGGTTTTTGATTTTAATTTATTTAAAAATTTTAATTAATGATATTTTTCACACTTTTTTTTTATCTTTATTTGATGTCTCTTATATCTATAGGGAGTATAATTTTTAAAGAAATTCATTTTTCTAATATGTCAGCGGGCGGACGTTGGGATAAGTTGAAATTTTCAACCCGCTTCCTAAAATAAACGGGATGAATTGGTTACTATAAGTCAAGATGGAACTGGGAGTGCTACTTGCTTTGCCACCTCATTAAAGAGAGAGAGTAAAAGAGAGAATAATATCTTTATAACTGATTTTGATCCCTATAACTATTTTTTTAATTTTATATTTTGATTAAATGAGAAATATAGTTAAACATTAGTCACAAATTACTATAAATATTAGTACTAGATCTAGAAATCACTGAAAAAAATCTCATTCATGTGTACTATTAGTTTCTTAAAATAAATAAATTAAATACCGATCTTCATGAGATTTTGGATACGGTTTCGGATATTATGTTAGACTTATCATCTTTGACATCGCTCTTTCTTTCCCTCGTCAATCATTCAAATAGAAGGAAAATACTTCTTTTACAATTTAGTCTCATCCACATCTATTCCACCCTTTCCCTCTAATATTCTAAAAATGACGTAAGGGGAATGCAAATCAAATTTCGTTTTGACTTTGCTTTCGGGGACGTTTGGTACAGGAGAAATATATTTTTATCCTGGAATCATATTACTGGAAATATGATTGGGAATTGAGTTTTTCGAGAATGTTACCAAAAAGTTGTTTGGTAGGTTAAAATATTATCAGAAATATTGGCTAAGTTTACTGAGTTTATGTTTGGTTGTTGGTAAAATATTACTGGAGGGGTGAATTTACAAAAATAACCCCAAACCCATTTTCAAGCACACAGTTTACATATTTCAATTTTTTGCACAACTTCGTTCCTTGGGTATGTCTTCCTACTGCCAGTAGCCCCATTAGCAAACACTCGCGTTGCAGCCATTGAAGATTCTTGGTATCATGGGGCTTACTTCTCTACAGAATATCTGAACCACATTTTTATCTTCTTGACCAAAGAAAGAATCCAACTAGTAGCACTCATTACTGCTAAAGATCAAAGAAAATCATACATAACCGCATATCATCGAAACCAAAGAATTCACAAATTTCTTTCACAGAAAATAAAATTTAAAATTAAAAAAAAAAAGTGGAAAAGATCAAGCTTCTCAATCTGTCTGGGAATTCCTTGCAAGGCCAGGTTCAAACTGATTTTGGACAAGCTGAAGCTTATTGGTAATGAATCTGTCTAAGAACCCGATTAATTCATTTTCATCACTGCAGTGCAAACGCTCAAAATCAAAAAATTAAAAACGACTACTTCTTTAAGGGACTCAAAATCTTGGTCGAGGACGGAGATACATAAACTGGGTCATTATTTCTTGTTGAGATTTCGTGAGTAAGGAAGACGATGAACTATGTAAACTGAAATATGCAGGAGGGTTAATTTTGTCAGAAAAAATATGTGACATTTTTCCATCACCCAGGTTTCCAAGAATACCACCTTTTTTGTGGCATTCTTGAATGGTATTTTGAAACACAATTTGTACAGAGATCCAATTCCTAGGGAAATTGAATTTCCGGGATAATTTTTACAAACCTCCTAACAAACGTGGATAAACAGGATTCCTAAATTCATTTTCCCAGGAATTTTAAAAAAGTCCCTCTACCAAACACCCCCTTAATGTATATCATTTCTTTGTACTTTTGTTTAAAGCACATTGTTTTATGGGGTTTGATTTTCTCATGTTGAATGAGAATTCAATTCTCATGTTATAGAGATAAAAAGCATGTGAGACCCATGTGTTGGAAAAAATTATATGTAGGACCCATGTCAGCACGGAAATCGAAGGGTGTGTAGAAAAATTTGAATTCTTATGTTGAATGACAATTATAAAACCCTTGTTTTATGTATCCCAAAAAAAAAGCACATTGTTTTAAAATGAGTTTGTTTTATAAATTATTTAGTAAGGGTATATATTATCTTAAATTTTAGTAACTTAAAAGCATAATATACTTTAAATTAAACCAATTATACAATTAATATTTAAATGAGCTAACAGATTAACTCACTTAATTCATTTACCTTTTGTTCCTCAGATCGAGTCTCCTCTTGAGCTTCAGTTTTATTTTAATATATTGGAAAACCGAATCAAACCCAGCCTATTGGCTCAGTTATTTAATCATTGTTTATAACCATTTTTTTCTTAAAAAATTATATACAAAACTGCTTTTACCAAAATTGTTTGGTTTTATTCAGCTTTGGATTTATTTATTTTTATAAAATTTAGACCAGTTTGATTTTAAGTTAATATATTTCTTTTCTAAGCGAGCTTGAAGCAGCAGTAAGATTATTTTTTGTGATTGGAAGATCACAGGTAGGGATAAAAGTGGGCTGAGTTACACCGAACTCTGTCTTGAAAAGCTCAAGTCTATGTCAAAAAATTTCAGTTTGACCTGACTCGATAGCATAGTTAGGGTTGGCAAAATGGGTCAACCCGGCTCAACCCGACCCAACCCGCGCTCAACCAAAAAAAAACGAGCCGGGTTAGGGTTGACTCGAAAAATAAACGAGCCAGAAAACTCAACCTAACCCGACCCGAGTCGGGTTAGGGTTAGCTCGCGGGTTGGCTAAAAAAAATGAAAAAATAAAATAAAATTTCATTGATGCTATAACTTCTAATTTTTTTTTCTAAATTATTAATTCATTCAATACAAAGACATTATACAGATAAACCATAGAAAATTTTGCATTTGAACTTGGACTTATTGGCAGTTGGCACCACATTCACATTGTCACACATACTATAAAAAAGGTCCTTAATGTACGGTTTTGGACTTATTGGCAGCTGCAGGGTATTTTTGTTTGGGTCTTTGGAATTGGAATTTTAGGTTTTAGCTTTCCACTTTACCTTCATTAATTTTTATACTTCTATATGAAGAAAAAAAATCATAACCCGCGAGCCAACCTGTTTGACCCGTGGGTTGGCTCGATTTTTTTTGAGCTGAAATGAGTCGGGCTGACTCGAGTTACTAACTCATTTTCCCTAACTCAACCCGGCTCATTTTAGCCGGGTTATCGGGTTGGCTCATTTTTGCCAAGCCTAAGCATAGTACGAGTTTAATTGTTAGCCTCGTCCGACCTAGGGATGAATCCAACAAATGCATCATGATGCTTGTAGTAGCTAAAAACTTCTTATCATCTTCTCTCCCCTACAAATACAATTCTAAGGTTACATAAGTTGGCAAACAATTTGTAAATGTAGAACACAAAAAAAACAAGATTAAAGAATAGAAAAAAATAAAAGTAAAAACAAAAAATCTTTTTATACCTTTTGTTTTTTCTTCAAACCACACTTATTACGTAGTCAATCTCCACCACATATTAAGCTTGGAAGATATCTTCAGGCAAGCTAGAACGTAAGCATCAATAATTCTTCCTCTAGCACTAAATGTTGATTTTGATGCTACTGTAGAGATTGGTACAGATTTTATGCCACTCCCAAAGGTAGTATTGGTGGGGATAGAACCTAGGTCCTTTCGCTACCTACTTAGCTCACATGTACCAATCAAACTATCACCATTTGGTACTACTATGAATAATATTATTTAATTTAATATAAATATAATATGATATAGGCCGGCCTGTAGGTTTATAGGTCTGACATGTAAAAAAAAGCTTATAGTCTGCTTTCTAAATAGGCTTTCTTAAAAGTCCGAGCCTGTTCTATTTCAGTATATAAAATAAGCCAGATTTGACTTGATATAGGCTAGGCCATAGGCCGGCCCAGCTCACTTATACCCCTAATCATAGGCTTGAATATGGAAATTAACCTATTTAATTTGGATAAAATTTATGTAAATATATACCAGAACAAGATTCTCTCCATCTCCTCTATAGTCCTTCAAATTCTAATCCAAGTGAATAGCAGAACCATGGAATCTTTAAAGATGCAAACATGTATCTATATTTTGGTGAGTATGACTCATTCTTCACATTCAGATAACAATTTTTATTGGCGGAACATAGAGAAAATCAAAGGAGTGAAGGGAGTGCTTAAGGTTTTTAAGCCTATTTATATTCTCCTTGTAAAAGAGTGCTTTATAACACTGCGGTGATTGCGGAACACAAAGAAAATCAATAGGGTGAGGAAAATGTTTAGAGTTTCTAAACCTATTTATATTTGCCTTGTAAACAAAGTGCTTTGTAGCAAGTGTGGTGAGAATAATATAATTTATATTGCTGGAAGTAGTCCATATTTGATGAACCAAGATAAATGTGTGTCTTCATTCTTTCTTCCCTTCCCACTTTTCTAATTTGCGATTTGTGTGATTGCTCAGTCCGAACATATTTACGTTTCTATTTTTCTCCTGTTTAAATCTTGCAATATTTTGATACATAGAGCTTCTTATAAGGAGGTTTTTTCTACATGTTTAAATATACATTACTGTTTGTGAAATGCAGTAATTACATAACGGATACCTAGGTCGAAATTTTGTTCTAGTCAGGCTTAATTCATACAACTGGGTAATTAAGTGGTACTTTTGCAATTATGTTAGCAGCTTCCAGTAGACAAAAAATCAATGAATGGAACGCTGTTATCCTTGTTCTTCTGTCCCACTGCATCTTGATTTACTTCCTCATCATCTCTTCTGGCATTGTCTGTCACTTCACTTTTATTGGAATCAGTATTCACTTGAAGAAAATCATAGAACTCAACTGATTGACTTCTATCTGCAATATCAATTAAAACACAATAAGATTTTCATTATCAACTCATCCCCACCGGGAAAATTAAGAAAATGTGTATAGTACTTTTGGCCAATGATCGGTGCATGGTACAAAACAAGCAAAAGGGCAAAGACAAACTAAGTGCACAAAGGCTTCCCAAGGGAAGTGTTGGAAATTGGCAATCAATAACATAATCTTAAGTAAGCTAGAAAAGAGAGAAATACATACTTATCTTAGTTCACTCTAATGTAAACCTATGTCTAGTAATATGTTTTTCATTATATATAATTTTCTCACAACACATTACAATTATCTTGTTACAAGAGAATATATATATACTTAATTAGTAACCCTAAGCTGCAACAGTTTATGGGCACAACCCCAAATCATCATGAGAACCCAGGGGCGTTGTGGGAACAAGTGTAAATCAAATGCGAATTTTAGGCCATACCCAATAAATATAGGGATGGTGATTAATTTTATGCACCCTTACCCTTACATTTTACAAAGAGACTAGCTATTTGATTTCCTAAACTTGATTATATATTCGAGACATAAAGGAATAGCTTTACACCGGTTGAAGTGACAAAGAGTTTGTTTTTCTTAACCATAGATCTAAAGTTCGAATCCTAATAAATGAAGAAAATAGTGTTGACAAAGCCATCTTCAATATGAGTTCAATAATTCATCAATTAAACCGGTTAGGATACGAATAAAAATGGAGCAACTTTACCGATTGCTTCAAGACTCGCGCTCATGGTACACAACAATTGTGTATAAATTAATTATTAAAACTATAGGAAGCATATATATGAAAATGGATGTACCTTGAAGCCTTGTGGAACAAGAGCTTGGATCTTGAAAGTGAAACTTTTTAGGAAATTGAAAAGGGTTATATGGAACACAAGGATAGCTATACTTTTCATAATACTTGTCAACAAAAGAAGGAAGGTTTGTTGTGTCAAAGTTTGAGTGATGATCCTGCAGGTTTAAAGGAGGCCGTTTTGCATTATAAGTTTTAGACCTTTCACGGCGATTCCTTGCCATCATCACATGCCAATGATTCTTGACGGCGTTATCAGTCCGTCCAGGGAAGTGTCTTGCAATCACAGACCATCTATTACCATGAATCTTATGAGAAGCTATGAGACGCTCTTCTTCTTCCTCTGTGAAAGGACTTCTATTTATTCTTGGGTCCAATTGATTGAACCATCTCAACCTGCAGCTTTTTCCTGACAAAATTCACAACAACATTAGCTTAATGTTATAATTCAACTTCACAAATTATCTTATAAAATTATTATAGTGTTGTCTCACTTGATCTGCTTCTTAGAAATTAGATTTTATATTTATATGAGGTAATGTTGTTCTGAAAATAAGTAAGAGATAGTTTTATCTTCTGTACACGTATACAAGTAGGTAGATTCTATTTTTTCTCTTTTTCTCTCTTCTCCTCATAAGACATCACCGACTTACATGTGTGTATAGGAGAAACATTAACTCCTTTTATATATTATCATGAATAACACTTTTACCACAAATTAATTAAGGTCAATGACAGATGAACTCAAACGGAAAAATATAAAAAAAATTGAGGAAATATTTATGTTTTATGATCTTTTAATCAAACCCTAGAGAAGCTAACTAATTAGTAAAATCTTCAATCTACATCACTAGCTACCTAACTTTTCACATAATTCGTTGCGATTTTCCTTATACCACCTAACTGTGTGTGTAGTTTCAAAATTATTACATAATTATTAAAGAAGATTAATTACTATCACCCAAGAGTTAAATGGATTGGCTTTTGCTAACTTTTTTATATTCGTTGGTTACTATAATATTTTCTAGTCAAATTGTTATATATTTTGAGTTGAATGGATAAAAATAGTTGGAAGAAGAAGATGAGAATATATATGATGATTGATATGATCATTAATTTTACCTGATCTTCCTCGGAGCTTCTCAGCTATGGCGTTCCAATTATGAGGTCCAAAGCGTTCCACCAACTCCCGAAGTTTCTCATCTTCAGCTGGCCTCCAATGGCCTCTACTACACATATTATGGATCTCTTCCTAAAAACTAAAAACAAGCACAAGAGAAAACACACAACAAAGAAAGAAGAGAAAACCCTAATTCAAGAATAGGGTTAATTAATAATTTCCCTACCCTTTGTTCTCTCCCTCTAGCTTGATCAATATATATCTTCCTTTCCCTTAATATGCTATATATAAACTATATATGAACTCCAAGCTATGATGGGTAAAGAATTATATTAGAGCAAAGAGTTAAGAGGAGGCAAAGGAAACAAACTAACAATGAAGACAAGGGAGTGGAAAGAGACACAAGAATAGAATATATGGTAGGGGAAGATGAGAAAGTGTTTTCCGTTAGAGAGTGGGAGGGATTAGAAAGACCTTGCACCTGCGATCGATGCAAACGTTTTGGCTAACAAACCCTCTAATAAGTAACACACATACAAATAGTAGATATAATACAACTTTATTATATATTTATATATATAAATACTTGTGATGTGTGGGAAAGAAAAAGAGGTTGCTTAGAGGAACGAGTTTGGTTCTGCTTTCAACGTCTTTCCAAGTTTCTAACCTACAACGTCTACTTATAACCCACCAAGCGTGCTCATTTTCCATATCTTATGTATTTACTAATGAAATTTCATTGAAACTATATATGGTTTTTTTTTTTTTTTTTTGCCAAATGGTGAGAATGTCTTGTATGTGACATCAACTAACCATAAAACGTAAAACACTTTGCTAGCGTTTTTGTATATGAACAAGCAGCCAATTGACATCAATTGCTTTTAGAAAAATTAAATAAATAAGTAGTGCATGCACATGTTCAATTGCTTAAACAGAAAAAATCAACTTGCATGACACATAATATTTACTAAATTAAGAAGAGTCGTTTTGGCATATATATATGTTTGTGTTACATGCAAATTATCAAATTGAAGGAACTACTTTAAAAAATGAATCGTTGAGGGTAGAGTTTGGTATTCTTGTTAGACTATATATTTGGAAGTTGTACATAGAGGGATAGATATGTTTTAGGTTTTGATTGGATTAGTTTTCAGGCGTAACTAACAACATTAATTAGCTTACAATCCTTACAACTGCACGTGGACTGCAAACTATTCTATCCTCCAACTTTTAAAAACTATTTCCTTTTGAGTCAAACATCGTGTCTACCACTTGTTTGTCTCCCAATTCCCTAATGACAAAAGCAAAAGAAAATACAACAAGTGCTTCTATTATATAAATGATTACCTTCTAGATGGGTCCCTTTTGCTGATTAAAAAAACCTACGCAGATTTTTACTTTTTTTATCTTTATGTTTTTAAACAAATTTAAAAAAGAGAGAGTGTGTATAAATTAATAAAATTATAAAGTGTAATTGCATGATAATATCAAGTGTTATTTTAGAAAATTATATTGCGTATTCTATCCATTTTCTTAGATAAATGTATAAAAGTAGTGAAATATCAACAAATATATGAACAAAAATGCACACTGACGTAAGGACAAAACATGTTTATATCTGGGGGTTATATATATATATATATATATATATATATATATAGAGGCATGATCTTTTGACATCGGTATCAAATTTGAAGTTTGACACCTTATCTGAGAGCCGTTAGATCAAAAAAGATCAACGACTTTGATTTGCAAGCATGTGACACCATTGATCTTTTTTGATCTAACGACTCTTAGATGAGGTGTCAAACTTTAAATTTGACACCGGTGTCAAAGGATCCTGCCTCATATATATATATATATATATATATATATATATATATATATATATATATATATATATATATATATGGGAAGATGTTTAGGAGAAAGGGGGTATAATTAAATTTCGAGGTTAAAACATATGTAACAACTTTTGGCCATAGATTTTAGTTGTATTTATAGATGGCGGTTTAAAAAAACAAATATTAATGAAGCATAAATTTAATGTCATTTCCACAATAAATTCGTCCAGTGAAATTAAAATCAATCTCATAACAAATTTTTAATTTATATGGTGGAAAGAGAATATTCTCTGAAAAAGTAACGTTTTTAACCTTGTAATTACATAAAACATTAAACAAGATGAAATTTTTTTGTGTTATAATAAATGCCGAGTGTATGTGTACGTATAGGTAAAAAACTAAGCGCATGCACTTTAGTCAAATTGTCAATGGATACACGTGTGGTTTTATATGGTTGTATTTTTTATTTTATTTTTGGTGTGCAGTGATTGTATTATTTTATATTATTGGGTATCTTATCGACCTCAAGAAGCAGTGGCCGAAAAGAGGAAAAGACACAAGTGATATATATAGAAAAAAAAAACTTGTTAACTACATCGGTGCACAAATAATAAAGTAATAAGAATGAGTATTATTTCCCTTAGAATTAGATTACAAACAATAATTCATTATTTCACAGTTGGACAACTCGAATAAGAGATATGAACTAAATTAAAATAAAGCAAGAATGCAATAATAAGGATTTGAACAATCAATAAAGCACAACCAGGAATAAAATTCCCCCCAATCTCCTATTTATGTTTTTAATTGACAGAAAAATATTTCTGCAGTTAATGCAGATAAGTTATCTGCATTTACTTCCAAAACGACGTCATTTTGGGATTGAAAGATTAGAAAATTATAATTATAAAGATTTAAAATTCTGAAATAAATTAAAATTACAAAAACACCATGATTTTCGTCTCAAAACGACGTCGTATTGGGCTTACTGCAGATAACTTATCTGCAGTAACTGCAGAAAAAGCGAACCCTTTAATTAAAAACCTTAATTAGACGCCATTTAAATATTACAATCGATTCCCCCAAATTAACTAAGCCTTAATTCTTTAATATCCTAACCCTTTACTCTCATTAAAGAATTATATTTCCACGATGCTCTTGAGAGAAATTAAGCATTAAAATCAAGAATCATAAAGATTGCATAATGCGTATATCACAAAATAATGATGAATTTCCAATCCTGATTCATATATTTACATTCCTATTGTCATATACATGAATCCTAAATCAATCTATAAGATAAAGAACTCATATAAGGCATGAAAAATAGACAATTCATTCAATATAAAAATGAAAGATTGCATAAAGATTAATTCAGAAACACAAAGATTCAATTGGATTCCATCTATCCGTGATTATAATAAAACTAGCCATACATGGTAAAAACAAGAACACTAGAAATAGTAAAGGCTTCTCTAAACTTCATTGATATAAATGCGCGATGAATCTTCACGAATTCTAGCTTAATCCTTTCTCTGACTAGTCTCTCGCTCTCAAAAGCATGAAAATCTGAGCAAACGTGCTTCCCGATGTCAAAGATTTCTAGAACTTTCAATATCCTCTTAAGAATAGCTTTTATAGCGAATGAATCCTTGTTTTGGACCCTAAATACATCTTGGGTCGCAACTGGGTGCTATAGTGCACTAAAATGAGAAATTTGACTAATTGGAGCGCGCTACAGAACCATGAAATATGTTGAAGGCACTAAAACGCCCTTGGCTAGAGCAAGTGTGTTATTTCCATATTTTGGGCATTACTTGAACTAGACTCTTTCGATTGATGTGATTTTGGTCTCATTGGAAAGAAAAGAGAAAGATCTATAACTTCTATGAAAAACACAAAATTTAAATCCATCATCTTTAATACAATAATTTTCCCGAAATACACGACTTAAATGACACCTGTTCGACGACGAAACAACACATTCGTTCGGCGATGAAAAGACACATTTTCCAAATCAACTTCTGACTCATAAACATAATTAATTCAAAATTAATTTGAACAGAAACCACATCGCCACATGAAGCATAATAAAGTTTAATTTCCTTTATTTCTAAGCTCAGTGGTAATTTCCCTAGGGGTGGAAATCATTTACTTTTCAATTTTCCTAATTAATGTTCCTTTTGACCCATATCCAAATGATACTTAATTTTTTTTAATTTGGACTACACTTTTATGCAAGGTGCTATCCATGTGATATTAGGATGGTCTATAAGCAGAAATTGTAAATGAAATATTAAAATTTAAACCTTAGAGCAGGTACTCGTTGGAAGGAGTACCTAGTAAGTAATTAGTCCCAACTACATATGTTCACGAGATTAATCTCACAGTAATGTCATGTCAGTGAAAAAAAATTAGAGAGTAACACTGTTATCGCACTTGCAACTTTTTTATATGAATTTTTGAAGTCAAATTACCCTATTTGTCCATTTACTATATAATAACTAATGAAGTACAATGTAGCTAACTAAATATATACATTAAGATAGGCCTTAGTGAAATAGTGTACAAATCGTATAACGTAATATATATCTTGATTAGCTAATTACTAATTAGCATGTTGTTGAGGTAGCTAGTTGGGGAAACGTGTAACACCTCCCTTTAGAACCGATTTATTATCATGACATATGTTATTAAATGCAATTACATTCACAATAATTGATTAAAATAACAGATAAATTTTTTATTTTTTGTTTTCTGATAAACATTGATTTCTGTGTTCATTAAACTCAAATACAATAATCATAACACATACATCATTTGTAAGCGTATTATACTAGCCTACAATCCCTTAAATGGTAATACCATGAACCTAAAGGGTGTAGAATTCATTCACTGTAAATTAATGCTTGAAATATCATGCATCTCAATTTTTTTTTTTGCACTGCTCGCTAGACTATCATTGCATTTTCTAAAACTGGGGATGCTAATCTACAACATACATTTTAATATCTTACTATTTTAAACTAGACATCTTGAGCTTTCCAATGGCACATCATAAGCCTCAATTGGATCTGTATAAGTCAATATATGTTTGTCGCAAGCTAACTGCTTTAAATCAGACTTCTGAAAATAGGGGTAGTGACTTCATATGTAAATTGGGGTTAATCTACTCAACCAATGGCTTGAAGATTTCGTAAGTTTTTAGCTCATGTGTTAGATTCACATAGGTTCAAACCTTACTTAATTTGGAGATCTCTAGATCAAGATATG